CGTGGATGTGCCCACTTTGCTTGTGGCCAAAGGAAGCTTGGAGAGGTTCACTGACCTCAAGCTGCTGGGTAACGTGGTGCTGAACCTATGGGTGTCGGTATGGAATGCAGTGGGGTCACCATCTGTGGAGGTGTTCGAGAATTGTGGAGGTGTGGCACTGAGGGATGTGGTCAGTGGGCATGGTGTTGGGGGGATTGGGGTTGGCCTTGGTGATCTTAGTGTTCTTTTCCAACCTGAATGATTCTATAAACGAAAAATGGGCAATGGGAGAAGGAGGGCATTTCCTATAGGAAAAGAAGCCCTGTCCATAGGATTTGCATGCCTGCTCCCATGCCATAGTGCATCAGCCACGTTGTGGCCATGAGAGGGAGATCTGGCGTACGGAAACCTCAGTCCCATAATCAAATATTATTTCAAAACTAATGACAAACATCATCTGTTTCTGAAGCGGTCTTGTTTAAAATATTTCCCCTTAGTACTCTCAAAATAGCAGTAATTGGAAACGGTTCTTTGAAACGCCACTGCATGCTTCTTTAATTATGCCTCACGCCGCCTGTTTCCAATGGAAGAGCCCTATCTGTTTGCACTTACCGGCCCTTATGAAAAACAGGCTTGGGCCCAAGTCGGCTGGAACCGAAAGGAGGAACGTTTCCCTTCGGAGGCATCATCGGAGCTAATTAACTTGAATCACGGCAGAAACATCTCCGCGAGCTCAGCCCGCCCCGGCCCCGCTGCGCCGTGCTGCTCACCCCCTACCGCCAGGGGGCGCTGAGCGCCCGCGGACCGCTGCCGGCGTTGGGGCGGAGCGGTGGATGCGGGCGGAGGATGCCGGTCCCGCACCATCACCGCCTGCTGTGTGTGCGTGCGGTGATTAAGCCTAAGGAAGAAACACACCTATCGGCTGGGGTGCTGGGGCTTTATAGAACTCGGTTCCCCAAGCAGCCTCATCTGGGCCCGTATCGTTGCGCTCAGGAGCTCAGAGCTGTGCAGCATCCCTTTTGTGAGCTCTGCCCGTGCTGAATTTTGTGTAGGGTGTGTTCAGTTTTAATGCCTTTCTTATGGCCTTAGGGTGTAGGTTTTTTGTTGTTTGTTCTTTTTCTTTCTGCTGGTAGGATGCTTCCATGAGCCCATTCCTCAAGCCTCAAGGCTGGAGTGCTGCTGAATTTGGGCTAGCTGGCACCGTGCTGGATCCTGCCAAGCCTGGATGTCCACGGACCCATAAAGAGCTGCTTGAAGCTGCAAAGCAATTCTGCACCACCTGGACTCCAGAGCCCAGGTGAGAGTCAAAAATCCAGCAAACTAACAGATATTTTAATCCAAATGCCCATTGTCCTGGAGGAGAGACAAACTCCACAGGGGAGTGTAGACAGTGAGCAGAGAACTTTCGAGTAGTTGCTCGTAGTAACTAGATAAGAAGTAGTGATGTAAGTGCTTGCGTGTGATAAGAGGGGCGAAGACGAAGAGGGGAGCTCTGAGCAGACACCATGGCCAATGCCCCATAACATCATGAAAGGATAACATCATGGCTAAGAGATTACAAATGGTCAGAGCCCAAGGACAAGCTGTGGCTTTCAGGATCATAGAACTGTTTGAGTTGGAAGGAACCCTTAAAAGCCATCTGGTCCAACTTCCCTGCAGTGAACAGGGACACCTACAGCTCCATCGGGTGCTCAGAGCCCCATCCAGGCTGACCTTGGCTGTTTGCAGGGACAGGGCAACAAAAATGGAGAAAATGCTGTTTGCAAAACTCTTTGCTGGGGCAACTGAAAGTAGCTACAGGGGAAGTGACTGCTTGCCTTGCTGTCTGGTCCATGTGCGCTTGGGGAGATTTATTGGTTGGTAGCAGAAGAGCAAATCTACATCTAGTGTCAGATTCTGTGCAAATGAGTGGTAATTGTGGTTAATGGTTGTACTGAAGTGCATAATTTTTTTTTACTAGTGTGACAGCAATAAAAATCTGCAGCTCGGGATGGGCTCACTGGGATTGCTCATTGACCTGAGCACAGGGAGTGTTTGGGGCAATTGGCACACAGAGGGTCTTGAAGAAGAAGGGGCTGTGTGACTTGTGCTGCTGCTCAAAGCTGCTCACTGTGCACAATGAGCACAGTGGGTGGTTTCATTTCTAAACGAGTCTGATCTCCAGCACTGCCCAGGAGCAGAGCATGGGAAACATATATGGGTTGCCTGTAAGGTAAACAGGATGAAGGGTACAAGCGTAAGGGTGTTGTAGCAGTAGCTGTGTTAATCCCGAATATGTGATATGAGGAAGTTATAAAAGGTAAAACCTCCCACAGATATATGGCAGGTAATCAAATACAGTGTGAAGAAAGCAATCTGCAGGGCAAACAAAACCAGGCCAGAAGTTTGAGCTGAGGCATCTCCTCCAGGCTGGTGGTTCAGCATCCCAAAAGAGCAGAGCTGACTGCGATGTGAGAATGGATGTAAAAACCAGGGTGCAAGTTGGGCTTCTTCAGCTCTCACTGAGGCTGGTGCCTCATGAATGACAGTGTTATAACAAGTCTATGCACAAGGAGGAGAAACCAGGAAAAATCAGCTGCTCAGTGCTGTGTGTATGGGCTGCTGCACCCAGAGATCATCCCCAGGGCCGGTGTTGTCTTTCAGGGAGTAAAGAGAGACATTGTCTTCTTTGGCTGGGTTTCTTGTAACTGGCAATTAACAGTCCTAAAACCATAATGAGGCAATTTGATTCCTTGCTGCTGGGGAGCAGCTGTGATCCACAAAGAGAAAAGGGATCTTGTGCAATGCCCTGGGACAGCCAAGCATGAGGGTGTGAGCAGATGTCCTGCTTTGCTTTGGGGAAAGCAGCTGGAAGGGTCCAGCTTGCAGGAACCCCTCTCCTGTTGGCACCACCTCATCCTGTTGGCTTGCAGCTCTACTCATCTGTGCTGCTGGGGCAGGAAGGGTGAGGGCAAAGTGTAGGAGTTAGTTGCTGCCATCCTGCTCCAGAGTGGCTGAACCAGATGCTTCTGTACAGGTATGTCTCTCCTGAGGACAAAAGGGGTTATGTTTAATTAATTATGGTTAATTAGCAGGAATTATGCAGTGGTTAAATCCACAAAAGCTATTCCAGGCAGGCTTGGTCACAAAGTGTTCTGAGCTGAGATTTGAGCCTGTGATGTCTGGTTCTGTGCATGTTTGGGCTGGGTTTGTTCCTCCTTGGCCACAGTAGACTGCAAAAAGTGAAGCTGGAGGCGGACATTTGGGATGAAGCACAGAATGGCTTGGATTGGAAGAGACATCAAAGATCACTCAGTTCCTACCCCCTGCCATGGGCTGGATGCCCCCAGAATGCCTGGACCCCCATTCAGTGATGGGGCTCTGGCCTTGACACCTCCAGGGACGGGGCAGCTACAGCTTCTCTTCCCATACATGTAACAAACCCAATGGGTGCCCATTACTGTGGTGCCTCTGGCCTTAGCAGCTGTTATGAGGGTGGCAGCAGTCCCCTTTGTGTCACTGACAGAAGCAGAGTTTTACTCGTGCAATAACAAAGGTATGTCCCTGAGTCCTCCACTCCTGCTGCCGAGTTGTGTAAGAATTAAAGTAACACAGAAGCCAGGTAAACATTGGAACCCGTTTTTGCCAGGTGATTGCTCAAGAAAAAGACAATCTCATACAAAGAGCCAGGTGCTTTTGGGCATTCATCCTGCAGCCCTGAGCTGGGCGGCTTCTGGCAGCTGCAGTAGTGATTGCAGAGATTTGGGTATGAGAGACAGTGGAGTGGATGAAGTTTCACCTGATGCTCTCAGCCATTCCTCAGTGCTCTGAGGATCCTGCCTACATCCAGACAGCACCCCTGGAAAATAACATGTGGGCTGGAGATAAAGTTAAGAAAAACAGATAATCTTCTAATGGGTAGTTACTGGTGAAGACAAGGAGATGGTCTGCAGGGCATCCAGCTCCAGTGCTGGGTGGTGGTGTGGAGGTTAGAGGAGAGCTTCTACCATGGAGGGATGTATTTGAAACTGACACAGCTATACCTGGAAAAGATTTCATGGGCTTTTGGGGGGCTTTGGCCCTATCTGGAGTGCTTTGGGTTGCACTTGCAGAAGAGAAAAGGTCCTAGGAGCTTCTGGACAGGAGCTGTCCCAGGGCTGAGAGGGGAGAGTTAAGAAGAGAAGCCTTGGATTTCAGCTGATGGATGAACAACACAAGAGCAACACAAGGTCTTGCAGCCCTTTCCTGGAAGGATTTTGCTCACAAACAATAATGAGGAGGAGGGATGCGGAGAAGGAAATGAAAAACGTGTCATTAACCATTCCTCCAAAAACAATTAGTGCAAATGGGAGGTGGGTGCTGCCCATTGCCGCCCACCTCAATGCGATGCCAGCTGCTGATTTATTGTCCCTGCATGCAGGACTGCTGGGATGTTTCCCATTTGGCACTTCAAAGATGAGCAAACAATGGGGCTGTGCTTCAAAGAGTGAGGGCTGAGGGATGAGAGGGGCCCTGCAAGGCAGCCGCGGTGCCTCTGGAAGCTTTGCTCATCTCTTGCTGCCAACAGCACTAGGAGCCCATCCATAGCTTTGTGGTTTCAATGGGTTTTGTGCTTCCCAGCAGCTCCCCAATGGGCATAAAGCATCCTTTCTGACTTGCCCATCTGTTGATGTTCATCCTTCAGCTTTCACACCTCAGCACAGTGCCTGCTCAAATCCACTTCCAGCCTAAGCTGCACACTGTTAGTGACAGAGAGCTTTGGGCTGGAAAGTAAGCTGTAAGTGAGACCACTTTTTTCCCATCTGCTGTTGCTCTTCTGGAGGTTGAGAGCTCCTCTCTGCTGCTTCTTTCCTGTAGTGTTGTTAAAAAATCAGATAGGAGTCTGCAGATGCTGGGCAGAGCTACCTTTGGTGCCATGAGAAATGTTAAGATTTTTATTAAGTTTTTACAGACTTCTGCACACCTTAACTTCTCTCTCTTCCTCTGCCTTCCCATATCTGCAGCCTTTTCCTTCTCTTTGTTTCCCTTTCTAGAGAGGAAAAATGGAAGAAAATATCCAAGGTCTTTGTTTTTAGGACAGTGGCACTGGGGAAATGACAAGTCAGGAGGTCCTTGGCCTTTTTGTTCCTGATGTTTGGCAGCTGTGTCACTGGGTAATGATTGACTCCTCCTGCACTCCTGCTGCCCTCCCTCTGCCGTCCTCATGCCAGGCATGGGGCAGGCACTGCCATCCTCTCTTTGGTCCCAAGTGTCTTTTTCTAACAAATGTCTTCATTTGCAGAAGTCATCCTCCTCCAGATTATGTCCTTTTGGAGTCATGAGGAAGAGCCACATCTCTTCTAGGCTGGGAATCCAAAAAGCCAGCTTGGCAGGTTATGTGCATTAAGTCCACTTATTCATGACTCCATAACTGTCCCCTTGAAACCCAAACCAATTCGTCAGACAGTGGAAAAAATAATTATTTCTTTTTTTTGTTTGTTCTGTTGGTTGCTCAACCATTTTTCTTGTATTCTCCATTCTATTTTATTTGAAGTGGAGGCCAGGAATTGATGGGTGGACTTTCAGTGAGGAAAAGGTGGAGAGCACAGAGCTGGATTTGGGTTTGCAAACAAACTTCTTTATGCTTGCCTGTGTTTTGTCCTTTTGCAGAGATGTCCTCTGAAAAACATTTGATCCATTTATTAGAAATGAGTTAAATTTGAGCCAATGGGAAATCATAGAATCACACATCACTCTCTGGTCTGCCTGTCCTAATGCACCATCACCCTTTCTGAGAAGTTTTTTCTAATATCCAACCTGAACCTGAGAGTAAGAATGCCTGCCATAAGAAATCCACATGCACTGAATTAATCATTCAACTATGGGAAACAAATTTAAACCAGAGAGCTGAGGACTTCTCTCATAACCCAGATCTTTGGTCACAGTGCAGTTTCTACCTATCTATAGAACCTGGAGGATCAACTGAAGGTTGGTTTTTCTCCTGCTGTCCTCGGTGGACAGGAGATCAATGCAGGGAATGAGCAGAGTTGTGCCCAGTGGAAACAACCAGTTACTCCAATAGCACAACCACTACATTCCTTCCATGTGTCTAGGCTTTTGGGATACAGGATGCTGCAGGGACAGCATGCTTAGCTGTTGATAAATTCTCTAGGGCTCCTTTGAGAGGCTGATGCACTTGCACAGGCATAGTAAAATTGCCTGGCATCAAGTGCCTTGTGTGTCTCAGCACACACACTTCAAAATTTGAGAGATTTAGCAGAGCATACCAGAGTCATTGTACATGATGCTAGAGGCAGTGAAGTTAGCCAGCTTTGCTTATTAACTACAGTAAAGACTTGAATTTCTAGGCCAGTTCTTAGTGCTTTATGAAACTCCTGTTTTGGGGATACAGTGATTACAAGATAGTTAAAGGAAACGTGCTTTGATTCAGGTTTGAACACTGATGTCTTTTGGAGATAGACAAAAGGACAGTAGGAGGCTTTTTTGGTAACTCTCTTCCTAAGAATTATTTTACTGCAGTTTTGGCTGTTTTATTAATGTGGTTAAATGTTCTGACTTTTCTTCTTTAGGAATATGTGATGTCAGGTATCTGGAAAATGCTATTACCCCAAATAATTGGAAAAACTATTACAAAGGTGAAAGAGCTAAATATTTCTGCAGTACAAATTATCATACTGAAAATGAAGATGGTGAAATTATGTGCACAAAGAATGGCTGGTCACCTCCTCCAAGATATATCTGTAAAGTTGAGTGTGCTTATTTTTTGTCACAGTTTCTAACTGAGACCAATAAATCTGTGATTACATCTCCCATGTTAATCCCTCACCACTACTTAGTGCAACTCTAAGTCTAGGTGCCTTTGTACAGCCTATCTGTGATTTCTTGCCTCTTTTCAGTCTCTGGCTGTGCCACTTGATCCCTGTTTCTCTTGTTTGCTGTCCAGTTGGTATCATACTGGAAGGAGGGAGGAACAGGGAAGTTACCTCTCCTAGCATCATTTCCAGCTTTTGAACCTGACTTGCACCAAGCCTGAAATTGCTGGAATGTCTCACCAGAATTATAAATTCGAGGCTAGGCTGCCCCTGCAATTAAACTCTGCTGCGTTTCTCTCTAAGTGTTAATGTTCTTCCAGGAAAGAGTGGAAAATGTGACCCACCTCCAGATATTGAAAATGGAGATATTCTTTCCTTCCCGTTGCCAGAATATTCACAAGGTGCAACTCTGAAATATAAATCTCTATATCCAGGAAGGATCTCAGCAGATCGGATGTATTAATGGACAGTGGACCAATCCACCAGTTTGCTTAGGTAGGTTAAAGCATGTGCTGCGTGGCCAAGAGCTGTGTGACTGCTCACGTTGACTTTTTCTCAGATCCTGAAGGTGTTTCCAATACGCTTCACTTGTGAAGCAGCACTTGTGCTGTGGCTGACATCAATGAGTCTTCCTTTTGTCCAGAAGGAATTTCTTCTCGATGTCACTTTGTGTGGTCCCCTCTGCTGCCTGCAGCCTCTCCCTGCCTCCTCTCATCCACAGATCCCGGAGGAGGGGAGTTTGGCTAACTGCCCATGTGAGGAGATCTCCATCAGTGTGCTGGGCTCCCACGCTGAGGACACTGCCACGGTCTGCAGGCTGCGATGGGGAGGTTGGGTCTGTCTGAAAGGGATCAATCCAGGGGTGACATGACCATGAGAAAATGAATTTAAAGAAGTGCTGGGACAAGGGAAAGGAGGATTCTGAAAAAAAGATACAGGGATGTTGAATGCTGCCTGCTGAGTTCCCCTACCCTGAGCTCTGCTTCCCCCTTGCCTTGTGTGACTCTCAGAGTGAAACAGCCTCTCTGCAGCACTGCACGGTGACTCAACCATCATCTTTTTTTGCCTTCAGATATGATGAAAATATCTTTCTTGTTGCAAAAAGCAGAGACTCAAAGTGAAGTCCTGGAAGCATTTTATGATGTGAAGAACCTCTGTAGGGAGAAAAAAATTACACGTGGTGCATCTGTATGAACTGATGACGATGTTCTCTTGCCTTTTCCCAGTGGCCTGTGGGCAGCTGAACAAGGTATGAACAGTAACAACACTGAGCTGAAATGGAGGGAAGAAAGAAAGTTTTATTCCAGATTGGGTGATTTTATCGAATTTATTGTAAAATAGGAAATGTGGAAGACCCAGCATCTTCTCTTTTCAGAGTACAATGTATTAATGGCACATTTAAATATCCACGGTGCAATCCAGAAAGTAAGTCTTCTCCATTTGTCATTGTTTGGCTGCTGTTTTTTGCATATTTAGTGCAGAAACTGAAAAGAAAGCCTTTAGCAAGTGTGCCTGGGGAAGTAGTAACAGAGCAGCAAGGTGTGGGAAATCCCGTAAAGCTGTAGGCTATAGTGGGTTGTGTTTCCCAAGATGCTGCTGACAGGAGTATCTGAGAGGGAAGGGATTGCCAAGCCTCGTGCTAGGGTCATTCGTTCAGTCACTGCCTAATTCCAAGGAGGACTGAAGAGCTCCTGGGTTCCCTGAAAGTGATATCCCTGAAATTGTTTCCCTGACTGTGGCAGGACAGGAGACCATTTCATTGCTCTCTCCCCCTGTTTAGGCAGGGTTTTGCCCCAGTGAGCTTATCTCCTGGCTCTCTGTTGCTGCCATGCTGTAAGTGTTTGAGGTACCAGCATTTTCAGAGACTCGGCTTGCAGTGTGAGACCTGCAGGCAAATCGTGGAAGTACTTCACATGGTGGTTTTTGTGTTCCAGGGGGCTGCACAGTGCTTGGGTCAGAAATGGATAAGAACAACATTCAACTACAATGGAGAAAGCCTTGCACGTATCGCTCTAAGGAACAGATTTCCTTTACATGCAAGTGGCTTCACGGGGCAGTTTCAAGACCAGAGAAATTTAACCCACAGTGTCTGGATGGAGAAAGTGAGTACCCTCAATGCACAGGTAAGTGGGAGGGCACAGGAGGCTGTAAAAGAACAGTGGGCAACAGCCAAGAAGGATTGTAAGAGGGATTCGTAGGCCTTCCCTTAATCCCATACCAGCCTGCATCTGTCATGGAGGAGCTGCTCCCGTTCCAAGGGACCTGGGGAATTGAATTCAAGCAGAGAGTGTGGTTGGCAACCGCTTTTCACTGCTCCTGGGAAACATGACAATACGTCAGCCTCAATCTCCATTTCTCCTTCTGTCCCTTCACAATGCAGGTGTATTCGGATAGATGGAAATGACGTGACTGAGTCCAGCTGGAGAAATGAATGCTCCTTCAACAAATCCTGTGATTTGAGCTCGAGTTTTCCTGGGGTTTCCTGCTTTATTGTGCTTTATAGCTTAGACAGTGTTCTCCGTTGGAATTTGCTAATTCATTTTCTCAGTACTATTGGATGATTTTGTTCAAATTTAACCATTTTTTTGTAAATGTATCTACATTCTGTAACCTTGTTTACATTTCATGCACGCAAATGATTGTGCTTACTTACATCTTGCCTATTCTGCATTGATCCCTGATACTTTCATTTACATTTTCATCCTGAAAATGTGCATTGATTGGCTTTGGTGGCATAAAACTGAGTCAAGAATTAAAAAGACTGCAGGTAATTTGATTATCAGTGTGTTTGGCCTCGACTGCTTCTAGCTTCTTCTCCATGAGCATGCCTGGAACATAGCCTGGGATGATGGCGGAGGCAGGGTGAGTCAGAGTGAATCTTCTTTAAACAACTCAGGGGAGTCTCTGGATCACAGAACCCGATTCCTACTCAGGACTTGAGCTTCCGTGTTGTTTGGTGGAAAGGCAAGATGTTGGGATGCAAGTAACTAACTAGGATTTCTGGATGTAGGTAGGCACGACTCCTTTGGTCCAGGTCCTGGAATGAGCCATCTTTTTCATTTTTTGGTGGGTTTGCGTTGCTGTCTTGATGGATCTGAGACTCTTGTGCTTTATTTATTTATTTTTTTTGGTAATTGATCCAGTGGTGACATATTGCAGCTGATGGAGAGGAACAGGTGATGTGTTTATGTGGCACTGGCATATTGCTTGTTGGAGAGGGGTTTTACTGCCCTACTTGACAGAGCTCTGTAGAAGATACGCACATTTCTCTTGAAGTTCACTTTCCTAAGAATTTTTTGAAAGGCAGTGTGCGCAGCAAGGGATGATTCTTTGACCTTGAAATGCCTTCAACACAGAGATTTTTCTTTAACCTCACCTAATTAATTCAGCCAGGCTCGTGAAAATGAACCAAAGCAATACGCTGCATTTGTGTACTGTTAATGGAGTCTGTCTGTCTCGGTATTCATCTGGGGTATAAACATGAGTTGAATTCTAAGAAAATATAGCAAGTAAGTAGTACCTGATTTTCCTGTTGTTGCTTTTGCTGATAAGGGAAATTTCAGGACAGCTAAAGCCTTGCTTTAGTCACTCCAAAACTAAATAATTGGACATAATTTCTTGGAGTAAGTTCTCAAGAGAACAAAGGCTGACTGCCTTTGCACACACAGATCTTTTGTTGCAGGAACTTGGAGAAGAAGGAATCTTTCAGCTGAAGACTGAGATGAATCAATGCTGAAGGTCCACTAGAACAGTAGGACTCCAGTGTAGGGTGCAAGTACCCCTGTGCAAGATAAATCCATTGAGAGTAGCAAGAAACTATTAAACCTTCTGTTTAAACTAAAAGAAAAAAAAAAAAAAGAAAAAAGAAATTGAGGTTTAATGCCATCTAACATACAGATGTGACAGCGGTGCTCTCACTTGGTCTCTGTGTCAGAGGACCAGCACCATGGGTCATATAAGGCAATGAAGTGTCCTGGGGGAAGAGCTGGGCTCCATATTGCAGAGGGATTCCATTTAGCTGTCTGGACTGTGGGAATGAGAGAGAGGAAGACAGTGTATTTTAGATGTTCATATTGAGAAGAAGTGTGTGTTGTTTGTTTGTTTGTTTGTTTTTCAACTTTGGTGAAGCCTCTTGTTGCAAAACCTTATCCAGATGACAGGAAAAGCACTGCCAGCACTTTCAGTGCAAAGCAATTTACTTTATGTGCTCATCTTTGCAGCCTTACAGATGGCATTCATCTGCCATCTATTGTTGCCAAAGGGGACCCCTCCCTCCCCCCTGGCTTCAGCCAGAGCTGAAGGTATGGTAGAAAAACAAATGCATAACGTTGAATGCAACAACAGCAACAGAATGAGAAGAAATCTTGAGGGGCGGGTTATTTCTAGGGAAAAAACATAAAAACTTTTTTTATCCCAACAGCTTATAAAACTTATAAATTTTTTATTCAGCTGTAGACTATGTCACGTTTCAAAGAGAATTCATTTCAAGTCCACTACATACTCGAGCAGTTTGAAGTAAGGTTCCGTCCATGTGAGACACAAACTGCCTCTTCTGCAGTGTTTCCTCCTGCAGCATGGTTTCCCTCCTTGCATTTATACAGCAGTGCTTCACTCACTTGGGGCTCTCGCTGGGTTGTGAAGAAGTTGCCATGATGTAATTCCAATACGTGGCATGAATTCAATGAATAATATTGCTGGTTTCTCTTTTTCCTTTAAGCTAACTTATCTAACATTTCCCTTAAAGGCGATTGTATCTGAGGCAGTCTTTGAAAATAATGAACAATTAAAAATGCAGCAGTTTACATAGGTTTTCTAGCGTTCAATTGGGCGCAAAGTTTGAACAGAAATGGGTTTATTTGAAACAAAATTATCTCACCCATACTGATTCCACAATTTTATCTATACCAATTCGCAAAACAACAGCATGACACATCTGACAACTTCATCGCATGAGGTACAGCTGGGAACTTAACTCAGGAATATTCAAATAACCTAACAAAGGCAGTTTGACCTTACAGGTAGGAAGGACAGCGGAATTTTATAAACATATATGAAATGAGAAGAAGACAAATACAATCCTACCAGCTTTCTTAGTACAGCTTGCCTGGGAAGACCATCCATCAGGCTGACATTGCACTGTATTTTCAGTACCACCGCTGGGAGCGTGGTAGCCTTGATTACATTTGTACTCTAGTTTCTCATGTATTTTGAAGTACGTTTCTGTACTGTAAAAAAAATGCCATGTTCCAGAAGAGGCTTATTACATTTTTCTAAATGAAAAGAGGCAGTTTGGTTAGGAAGAAATAATGAATGTAATATTTTCCCTGATAGGCAAGAAGGTGGGGTTTTTAAATTATCTCCATCCAATTTCATTTTCTTGTTTTATTGAAATGCTACCACAACATTGAACAGATGGTAGTAGCATGGAATATGTCACTCTGGAGCTAAAGAGACTCAGATGCACATCTGCAATTAAAATGTCACTTATTTTTCCCAAGTTAAGTTACGTTGGGCAGCTTTCTTGAAATTCTTAAAAAGCATATGTGTAAGAGTCCTTAGAACATACACTAGTGTAAAACAATTCAATGCATGAATAGACATAATGGATTTCACTTTGACCTCGCTTACACGTTTTTATCCCTACTATTCTGCAGCTTTTGTCTCTATATGCTTTAGGAAATTGAGCTAAAACAGTTTTCTGCTAGAGGCAATAGTGAAATGAAGAAGCTAACTCACTGAAGCACTCTGGCACTGGAGACCATCCTTCTGCTGTACAAGTTATTCTTCCGTCTTGAGTCCTGGTTTCAGCTGTATAACCAGCCACACAAGAATAGGAAAACTTTTTCCTTTATGCATAGGGAAGTAGTAACCTTTGAAACTGTAATAATGGGGGGCAAATCCTCCATTTTCTACATGTGGCAAATCACAAAGCTTATCTGCAAAGACATAACACACGTATTTCTCACTAAAAATCTCATCCCATCTAAGAATGTATTTGTTTAAAAACAGAAGGGGAATGTAATACTGCTTACGAGGTCAAAGCTGGTTTATTTGGCAGTCACTGTTAAATGAAAAAAAGTATTATTCAAAGCTATCATACTTGCTATTTTTTTTTTTTTTGCTAAATCTCATCCTTGGCGTGAAGAGTCTTATAACACACACTCAAATGATGAGATATCAGAAATATATCTGCCTATGTTCTTTAGGTTTACAGAAATACAACCTGCGGAATGAAACATTCTACTCGGAACAAAATGGGCAAAATGGATGAAGGGCACGTTTGTTTGACTCTCTGTAGCCTGGAAGATGTAAGCACGAGCACCTTCTACTTAAAAACCACTCTGATGCACAGACCGAAATGAAGTGGGAACAGCGTCAAGAATAGCTGTGCAGTAGCTGCTCACTCAGCACAACAAACCAACAGGAGGTAATGCAGAAGACAACTTGCTGAAGGAAGGGAGGTTAAGAACTGAAGTCACAGTTCAAGAGGTGTGCATTCTAGACAGACCCAGGAATTTCAAACAAAAAACAGGGATAGGAAATGTGAAACACCGCCCGAAGCCAACTTCTGCAGGCACCATTTAACTTCTGCTCTTCTGCTCTGTTCTGTTAGCCTGAATTGCTGAGATGTGCCAGCGTATGTAATGTCTAGGAGGGCAAATTTCCATTCGGATAATGCCCCAAAGTAGCTCAGATACATTTCCTGAGAAAACTCCTCTGAATAGAAATCTGGTCCTTTTCGTTATTCAGCTTTGAAGTGTACATGTGAATCTGTAGCTCAGGCAAGCAGCAACAACTGATCCACGATTATCAGCCATCTCGCAACAAAGCTGTATTTGAAAGCAGTCTTTATTCTTGGTCAAGATATGAAAGACTCCCCACCTTAGAAACCTAAACTGCATGTTCTAGATTCAATGCATGTTTATCAGCAAAAGAATTCAGTGTTTTTGCCTTCTGCAAAGAGTTTGCCCGAATTCATCAAAACTAGGAAGAAAAGACAGATTTTAAATCTCATTTTCAGTACCGTCCCCATCAATAGCTTCCATCATCTGCAAAAACTCCCCGACTATCACTTCTGTAAATGATAACTGAATTTTCAATGGTATTCACAAGCGCTGTAATGCCCAGAGTGTTTTGTAACTCAAGTTACTTCACCAAAAACTTTATTTTTGTTTTAATTCTCCACAAATCACAACTAGACGTGCAAAACTCTACTCCCACTGGACACACTTTATATCAGTAAATGGGATTTAACTTGTTATATAACAGTAAAACTAGGCGACAAACCGAATGGAACAATTTAAACCAGTTGAACGCTGTCCCCATTAGAACCTCTTCAGTTCCAAGTTTAAAGGGCATTCTATTATCGGGTTACTATTTACCTTGGCTGCAGCAAGAAGAAATAAAAATTCCCTCCCACACATTCCTTTGCATTCTATCTGTAATTCATTCTGGAGGCCCTAATATTAAGGAGAACATCACCACGTAGCCACTGCTCTCTCCTGTCCTTAAGTTCTGTTGCCATCCACCTTTCTTTTAAGCAAAGAAAAATGGAACAATGCTGTTGTCTAAAAAAGTTAGGTTAAATTAGTTAGATTAAATGAGTTGTTTTTACAGGCGTTCCGTACTGTTTGTTGAAAGCAGATGAACGAGCCTCAATTTTAAGCTGTTAGGAACAAGGGTGTGCAAAAGCATTCCATTCTTTTTCTTATTCCTTCCTAGTTAAGTAAGTAAAAAGTATTTGCCGTATTTTCCATAGCGTGTGATAAGAAAAATGTTAATTAAGTTTTCTTAAATGGAAAAAGGAAACTTTAGAAGTGAACTGCGATCGCTACTTTTATGTGTTTCATGTCTTTCCAACCAGCTCAGTGCATTAAATTTGATTCTGAATTTATAAACATGCCAAACAATACCTGACTCGCGTAAAGAAAATAACCAGGTGCTTACTATGTTATTAATCATATTGATGATCGACTCAGAAGCTTTTTTTTTTATAATGAGCAAACACGTTCTCAAGACTTCTTTGCACATCTGAAAGTCTGCATGGGTTGCCTTGATGTCACGGGTTTAGTAAACGGTGGACAGGACTTCTTCCACGCCTTGGCTGTTTATATGTGACGGTCACATAATGCACCACAGACAAATGGAAATCCCTAAGAATCCTTGGCAAAGTACAAATTATTTCTTTCACTTGCATGCTAACGATGAGGCAGAACCCTTTTCCTGTGTGGCCCAGTAAGCACCGCAGGGGAGCTGGGGGTGGATGCTGTTTTCCTGCTGAAATAATCTGATGAATGCTGATATTCCATTATATAAATCTGAAATTCCGTTATATAAATCTGAAATTTATGCAGACCCCCAGGGAACTGCAAGTTTGATTTGTACTGCACCACAATGTGGTTTTTTTTTTTCTTCTGTAAGAAAATTGAATTGAATTAAGTTTAAAATTTTGTTTTTTTTTTTTTTAAACGGGGAGAAGTTGTGATTAATTCATAAACGTTATTGCGTAAGTATTTATTACTCTCTCCACAAATAACTTTTCTTTTGTAGAGATCTAATGTCAATAGTAGAATGTTCTTTAGCTGCATTAGGTAAACAAGAAATGAGTTTGCTTGTGAGTGTATGCGCTGAAATCAGAGGCACTGGTAAAACATCATATCTAATGTTTATGCTGCCCAGGCTGTAATAATACAGTACTGATCAGTCACAGTAGGGAAACTGATGAGGAAAATGAGAGAAAGCTCACAGCTGAGAGAAAATAAACAAAATAGCTTTAAATGCAATTCAGAAAGGAAATGAAGCAATGTTCTTATCTCACCTACTGACTTTTTCTTAAACCACTGTCTAGGACAGTGTTTTTACCCATCTGTGTTTTAGTAGCAAGGAGTGTTCTCTCACGTGCCAAGTAACTGACTTGGGAGGAGAGCCAACCACAGACAGTCCGTGCTTTGGAAATGGCCAAGCTGAGTTTTAATCTTCACCTTTTGCTGAGCCGAGTACACAGACATAGTTTTGGTGACCAAATGATGTCACTATTCTAGACAAAAATAAAGAATGTGGCTTCAGCCCACGTACATGTCCTCAGAGGGTGGATCCAGGCAGGCCATGGCAAGAAAAGAGAATGTCCTTGATGCCATCTACAAGATGGACACCTTGCAGACCTGAGCTTGTGCTGCAGGAGGGAGAGATCGGGTTTGGCACAAAGCCCAACTCATGGAAATAACAGGCTAATCTCGCCACCAAGTGTACCTCTTGCACTTAAAACACCAAGTCAGAACTACTGATTTATGACCGAGTTACA